AAGCGCCTGAACTGTACGTGTGATAAGCATTTGCAGAGTCTAAAAAAGAGGAGGTTGCCATGTTACTGTTTAACCCCTTCATGAATTTGAGTTATGGATGATTTTATAGGAATTTGAGGCCCCTGGACTCTACCAAACAGGGGTTAGAAATCATGAGTCCTAAGGCTCATGAATGCATGAGCCCAATTCAAATTTTCAAGAAATTGCTGCCTTTCTAGCATTGCAAATTGTGATGGAGTTTGTAGTCCTCGTAATAATATGGAACATGTAGTCTCCAGGAATTGGTTTGCCAAATAAAAATTTGGAGATGCTGTGTACACCTGCTCTGAACCCATATAAAGACCTGTTTTCCATAAGCAATTACTGTATTTTCCCATGTATAAGACTGCTTTTGTCTAAAATCTTTAGACTAAAAATTGAGGCTTGTCTTATACATGGAAGTTGAGAACAGGCAAAAGCAGGGATCAAATTAATCCTTGAGCACTTTGATCCCTTTTCCCCTACACTTGCTAAGCCCCACTTATTTTTCTTAATTTTGGATTAGAAAAACTGAGGGTGTCTGATACATGGGGCCTCTTATAAATGGAAAAATATGGCAGTCAAAGAAGGAGAAATAGAAGCAGGTAGAAATTGATCTCCCAACAAAGTTTGATCCATGAAATGACATGCAAACAATGCAGGGTTTTCCACACAAGGTGTTTCTAGGACTAGATAACCAGCATTCCACATTTCCCGTGGCAAGACCTTGAACTGGTGAAAAGAATGGGAATTGTGGTACATAGGGATTGTTAAAGCAGATTGTTCCCTGTGAGTAGCATAAATTTCAAGCAAGTCTGTTTTCAACATGAAATCTGCAGCACCTGGTTCATGATGTGCGGTTGCCAAATTCTGAGCTGCTTTGTCAACAGGAGCACTTTTAACAGTAGCAAGTTGAATTTCTGAAAGTGGGGTGCTGTTTAAAAACATATGAATTCTCATTATCAATGTCTCTTTGGTCATTACAAACCCCAGGAGGAACAAAAGTGAAAGGCTGGGAATTGCTGCCAAGCCGTTCAGGGGATAACATTTTTTGCTTTGCCTTACTAGAAAAGATGGGAGGGGCATGCTGAGGGAGAATTGCAGATGTTTTAGGTAATTGCATAGCCAAGCCTGGAAGGAGTGAACTGGGAGGGGGAAGAGCAGGAGGGAGTGTGGGAACAGAGACTGTTGCGTTCCAAGGCAGGAGAGAGGGGGAGAAGGGTGGGGAGTAATAGAAACTGTAGCATCTGCATTGGAAAGCAGGACAGAAAGAGAAACGGAGGGAGTGGGGGAGACCAATTAGAAGCTGCACAGGGAGAAAAGTTTTGATGGAGACCATTTTGAGGGGATTCATCAGGGAATTGGGCTAGTTAACAGAAGAGCTTGTGGCTCATTTCTCTGAGATAGGAGGGGATGTTAATCCGGAATGGATTAACCTTGCTATGCGGGGCACCACTGTATTAAGAATTGCATGTAAAATTCCCTTGGTGTTGTGAAGTACTTTTCCAATTAATTCCCAAACTGAAAGTTTAAAAGTGCCTCCCTCTGGATAGAAGGGGCAGAGAGAACGTATCTCTGTCAATAGATTTTGCACTAGTTGTTGAGATGGGTCATTAAAAAGTTTTCCTTTGCAGGAGATAAATTGCCTCCTGTTTATGACTTCCTTGTAGAGGAGATACGGCGTTTCCCATGTTGCTTCTAGTTTAAACTGAAAAACTCACCCAGGGATCCAACAGGATGATTAGACGGTGAACGATGAGCTGCGGATTGCCGTCTGGCAATGTTAATTTTTCGTTTCGTTGAAGCTTCAGTTGAAGTCAGTCTTCCTACATTCCCTCCACGAATGGCAGATTTGTACTTTCAGATCCCCCAAGTTCTTTGCTTGGAGGGATTGCTGCACCTTTGGGCTGAAGGAGCTTGTCCTAATTCCCAGTGGAGATGTTCCATTAAGTCATCAAATGCTTTAATTTTATCAAGTGGTTCAATTGATGTTGTGATGGAAACCTGAAGGTGCTAACACCTCTCCCTTAATAGCAGATTTTAGAACCTGCTAACACATCATGATCCCATACTAGTCCTTTTGAGGCATCCTGGTAAATACAATGTATTTGTTTTATATGAGCACACAGGCCGCCACAATGCAGGAGCATCCTATCAGTGGCTAACCTCTGTTGCAAAGCCATATTCTTCAGGGAAACTACTTCAGCCTTTAATTTTGTTTGTATCTCCATAGTGACATTCTCCAAGAGGTCTATGGCTCCTGAAGTGTTATATAGAAATTCTGCCAAGGAGGGAATGTCCTTATAGCTTTCTGTCACCTCTACTGATGGAAAAAGGCTCCTTCCCATTTGAGTCCCTGTTGATCATTTCCAGGCCTCGGGAGATGATCTTCTGGTGACATCTGTGGCTTGAGTAGAATAATTTAATTCATTATTCAAGGAGGGCTGTTCAGGCGGTGGAATCTGCCCAAAGTCATATGTTGTGGAGACTAATGCAAAAAACTCATTTAATTTCTCTGCAATCTCCCTCCCCTTTCCCTTTTTCACCATCCAGAGGGCCAGCTGCTTCTGTGGCAAGTTTTCTGTGTTTAAACTATTTAAAGAAGCTTTTATTATTCCCCCTTATATTGCTGGCTATATTTTCCGCAAGGTCTTTCTTTGCCCTTCGTATAATCTTATTTCAGTGGTGCCTCGCATAACGAGCACACCGTCTAACGACGAATCTGCATAGCAATTCATTTTTTGCGATCGTTTTTACGACCGCATTGCGATGTTTAGATAGGCTAAATATTGCATTGCGATGATCGGTAAGTTTTCAGCTGATTGGGGGTTCCAAAATGGCCACCGTGTCACCAAAATGGCCGCCCACAGTGTTCCCTGCTTCTAAACTATTTAAAGAAGCTTTTATTATTCCCCCTTATATTGCTGGCAATATGTTCTTTCTTTGCCCTTTGTATCGTCTCATTATATTTCTTTTGCCAGAGTTTCTGTACCTTTTAATTTTCTTCATTTGGGAAGAATTTCCATTTATGTAAGGGCCCCTTCTTTCCTGTTAACGCCTCTGTAACTTTACTCTTTAACAATTCTGGCACTTTCTTGGACTTAGTTGAGCTCCCCCCCCTTTTTTTTTTGTTTTTTTTTGCAGTATACACTACAACAGGGCCTCTACTACTGTTGTTTTAAAGAGACTCCATGCACTCTGGACATTATTTTTTAAACCTTCCCTTTCAACCTCTTTCTACCTTCCTCATCTGAGGGAAGTCCACTCTTTGGAAATCAAGGGTTTTTGTTTCAGATTTGCTTGACGCTCTCCCCCCAACATGCAGGGCAAATGAGATGGCCGCATGGTCACTATTCCGAATCGATCCATTGAAATTCCCGTCCCTAACTAGGTCCTGACTACTGTACAATAATAGATCCAGAGTCACCTGTCCTCTTTTAGGCTCCGTGAGAAATTGCTCCTTTAGCATGTCAGGAAACCCAGTCACTCTTTCTTGACTCGAGCACACATTGACCCCGTTGATGTGAGGACAATTTGGGTTCCCCATAATTACAATCTTGTCCCTTTTGGACACCTCCCTGATTTCTCTGTGCATTTCAAGGTTCACCTCAGCTTTTTGGTCTGGAGGATGGTAACACACACACCACACACAATCTCATTGCTCCTTAGCCTGGTTGTTTAACCCACAGTGATTCTATGATGGAGTCAGATCCATCATCCATCTCCATTTTGACCTAGATGACCACCCCACCTCCAACACCCCCTCCCTATCCCTCCTATAGAGTTGATAGTCTGGGTTTGCATAATCCCACTGTTTCTCCAAATCCCACCAGGTTTCCATCATGGCCATTATATCAATGTTATCCCTAACCACCAAATGTTCCAGCTCTCCCATATTTGCTCAGACGCTTTGGGTATTTGCCTAAAAGCACCTGCGCATGGGAGTCCCCCACGAAGGGCTCCTTGTTTGCTTCTCCTTCCAGTGTACCAACAATCCCATCCCATCACTCTCTCTGTCCTAATTCTCCTTTAATCATGTTTGAGAAATTCCTTTCTATTTTTCTGGAAACTAAAGTTACAATCATTGGGGAGAAATTGAGAAAGAAAAGAAATAAATATATATACAATTTCATGTACTTCTTTGGTTGTGGAAATGACATCCCTTCATTACACCTCCCTCCAAAAGATCCCTCAGTGGAGCGCCCCTCTAACCTAAAGCCGAAAGTAAAACTCTCTGGACTTGCCTCATCTCCCAGGTTTTCTTCTCTAACCTTCTTGCCTGTCTATCCTTCCTCCTCCATGACTCAGGCGGAGCCCGAACACATCATTCCTTATTCCTGAAGATTTTGGAAGTGCTTATTTCTCTTCTTTTTCTAATCCAGATGATGATAAGAATTGCCCAGCAACATCTGGGACAACCTGGGCACGAACTCATAACCAAGGAAGAAAACAGAGAATTGAAAATCCAAGTGGACAGGAATGGACATCACGTGAAAGAACTCACACAGCAGAGAAACCATATAAACGCATGTAATCTCAGTATACATCATATAACTCATGAAGGGAAGAAAATGTATCCATGTATGAAATGCGGAAGGAGCTTCAATCGGAGGTATACACTTAGGTCACATGAAAGAATTCACACTGGTGAGAAGCCATATAAATGCATGGAATGTGGAAAGAGGTTTATTCACAGTAGTGCCCTTAGGTCACATCAAAGGACCCACACTGGAGAGAAACCATATAAATGCATAGAATGTGGAAAGGGCTTTAGTAGCGATGGTGCCCTTAGGTTACATAAAAGGACTCACACTGGGGAGAAACCGCATAAATGCATGGAATGTGGAAAGAGGTTTATTCACAGTAGTGCCCTTAGGTCACATCAAAGGACCCACACTGGAGAGAAACCATATAAATGCATAGAATGTGGAAAGGGCTTTAGTAGCGATGGTGCCCTTAGGTTACATAAAAGGACTCACACTGGGGAGAAACCGCATAAATGCATGGAATGTGGAAAGAGGTTTATTCACAGTAGTGCCCTTAGGTCACATCAAAGGACCCACACTGGAGAGAAACCATATAAATGCATAGAATGTGGAAAGGGCTTTAGTAGCGATGGTGCCCTTAGGTTACATAAAAGGACTCACACTGGGGAGAAACCGCATAAATGCATGGAATGTGGAAAGAGGTTTATTCACAGTAGTGCCCTTAGGTCACATCAAAGGACCCACACTGGAGAGAAACCATATAAATGCATAGAATGTGGAAAGGGCTTTAGTAGCGATGGTGCCCTTAGGTTACATAAAAGGACTCACACTGGGGAGAAACCGCATAAATGCATGGAATGTGGAAAGAGGTTTATTCACAGTAGTGCCCTTAGGTCACATCAAAGGACCCACACTGGAGAGAAACCATATAAATGCATAGAATGTGGAAAGGGCTTTAGTAGCGATGGTGCCCTTAGGTTACATAAAAGGACTCACACTGGGGAGAAACCGCATAAATGCATGGAATGTGGAAAGAGGTTTATTCACAGTAGTGCCCTTAGGTCACATCAAAGGACCCACACTGGAGAGAAACCATATAAATGCATAGAATGTGGAAAGGGCTTTAGTAGCGATGGTGCCCTTAGGTTACATAAAAGGACTCACACTGGGGAGAAACCGCATAAATGCATGGAATGTGGAAAGAGGTTTATTCACAGTAGTGCCCTTAGGTCACATCAAAGGACCCACACTGGAGAGAAACCATATAAATGCATAGAATGTGGAAAGGGCTTTAGTAGCGATGGTGCCCTTAGGTTACATAAAAGGACTCACACTGGGGAGAAACCGCATAAATGCATGGAATGTGGAAAGAGGTTTATTCACAGTAGTGCCCTTAGGTCACATCAAAGGACCCACACTGGAGAGAAACCATATAAATGCATAGAATGTGGAAAGGGCTTTAGTAGCGATGGTGCCCTTAGGTTACATAAAAGGACTCACACTGGGGAGAAACCGCATAAATGCATGGAATGTGGAAAGAGGTTTATTCACAGTAGTGCCCTTAGGTCACATCAAAGGACCCACACTGGAGAGAAACCATATAAATGCATAGAATGTGGAAAGGGCTTTAGTAGCGATGGTGCCCTTAGGTTACATAAAAGGACTCACACTGGGGAGAAACCGCATAAATGCATGGAATGTGGAAAGAGTTTTAGTAGGAGTGATACCTTGAAGTCACATGAAAGGTCTCACACTGAGGAGAAACCATAGAGATTCATGAGATGTGGAAAGGGTTTTAGGAGAAGTGATACCCTTAGGTTACATCAAAGGACTCACACTGGGGAGAAACCACATACTGTAAATGCCTGGAATGTGGAAAGAGCTTTCGTAGCAGTGGGACCCTTAGATTACATCAGTGGACTCACACTGGGGAGAAGCCATATAAATCCATGGAATGTGGAAAGAGCTTTTGTATCAATGGTACCCTTTAATATTTATATACGTTTCATGACTGACATAAATATTATAAGTGTTTTTACCTTTTTTTATTGTATTCTTAGATATTTAGAAGTATTCTGAAGATGTATTCTCTGTTTTTCTAGATTATGACCTCCAGTGTTTTAATGTGTTTATATTTTAGATTCAAACACATCTTAAATTTTTGCATATTATCTCAATTTAAATTCCTGAATCTTTTTACAAGGTGCAAGGATGTATTTGAAGTAAGCCTGCAGTTTTTGCATAACAGTATTATGTTTGGATTTGAAGATCTGTTCCGGTAGTTTTTTCCTAATGCCTGTAAGACTGCCTTATATATTTTTTTGGATTTAGTATACAGTATTTAAGTATGAATGCAAGAAATGATATAAAGAAATGAACTTGTACAGAATTAAGAAATTTTGGAATTGCCTGGAATCATTGCAACAATAAAAAGACTTCTTATGAGATACCCAAATGAGCTGCAAACACCTTGTCACTAGTTGTCTGTGTGAGGGAGAAATTTGGGCTGAACCCATTCTGACTGGATTGTCCTCCTTTCCTGAGGAGAGGCGGGAGAAGTCCACAGAGCCCCAGAGACAACATATGACCCGTAAGAGAAGTGACACCTCCAAGGGGAGAGCGGGAAGATAGAGAGGTGAGAAGGGTCACAGAGAAAACCTTGATGATATAGAGATACTTCTGAGTGAAGAATCAACGGTTGAGACCAATGAAGGAATGGGAGAGTCTGGAAATAAAGATCCTGGGGTGTCTAAGGTGGAAGTTCCATTGAGGGAAGCAGAAGGTCCATCAGAGGAAAGGAAGGATCCACCGGGTAAAGGAACCTTAGGAGCAGTAGAGGTGCAAGAGAAAAAGAAAGGAATAAGACAAGAGGAGGAAAGAGAAATATATATTGGGGAACAATCAAGAAAGGAGAGAGTGGAAACTGGATAGAAGGGCAAAAGAAGGAGAGGATATCACCACAAGGCTGGGACTGGATATGGATGGAGAAACCCTGGACCAAATAGTGGGAGAACTTGATGATCCCTCATGAAGAGGGAGAAAGGAGTTGGAGAGAAGTAAGTCTGGAGAAACCCTCATATTGTGTAGATAAATAAGACCAGTGAAACCCTCCTATTGCTGAGAGAAAAGTGAGTGAGTGGGGGAGAAAGATCAAGGAGGAGAGAGTCTAGCTAGCCGACGAGAGAAAGGGAAAGATGGACCAACCCCTCAGAGAGGGCTTTTTGCAGGACCCCAGTGGGTCAGTTGTCTTTATTGGAGCCCACAGGGGTAACTGCACATCTCTAGATGTCTGAAAATACCGAACTCCCACATTCTGGTTTCTTTGTGGGAGTCACACTTTTTCTGCAATCATATCAACATTGAGGAATCATAGAATCTCCTTGCCTGGGAGGTCTGTAAATTTCTGTAGGATTCCTGTGAAGTTCTGACCTGTAAATATCAAAGACATCATATAGGAGAGAGGTGATAGAAATAGGAGAACCTTCAATAAAAGCAGTCATCTTTCTATTAAAGGATCTGATACAAAGTGGAAAGCTTTGAAATGAACAGAATGTGGGACCAGCTTCAGTTTGAGTAGAAACTTAAGAATACTTTTTAAAAAACCCACATGGGGCAATTTTGTAAGTGTGGTGTGTGGAAAGGGTTTGAGTGTCAGTGGAGCATATATGAAAAGTTGAAGAATTCGGGGAAGGGGAAATTCCCTCCATATCACATGCTTGCCATGGGAGCAAGATTTGAGAACATCCTAAGGAACTGACAGGTAAACTCCATGTTTCCTTACATGGATAAAAGTTGATGAAATAAGCGACAGAGACACCCATTAGTTAGAAGAGTTGACAAAATGGCTGAGAAAGCGTGAAGTCTGGAAATCCATTTTTACATTTTTAAACTATTTCCATCAATATGTTAGCGGTTGCTAATATATTACTCCTTTATTTTTTTGTTTGTTTGAAATATTTTCCCTTTTGAAAGGACTTGATGATTCTCCCTCCTGCCCCGGGCCTTTTCTGGACCGAATCCTGGAGAAAGTCGGAATGGGGGGGATTGTGGTGTCTCCTCAAAGGAAAGCCGAGGTTGAGACCCCCCCTCCGTCCATGAACGCACCAAACACCTTCCTGGGAGGGGACATTGGGGGAGGGAAATCTTGCTTCCGCGGGGGGGGGGGTGATCCCTGAACCTCCCCCACTTCCACACACACACCCCGGGGAATATCTCCAACTAGGAGAGACTCCGGGAGGAAAGAGGGACCCCCCCAAAAAAGGGAAGGGGGTGGATTTGCAATCCGGAGGGAAAGGAGAAGAGCCCCCGCTCCCCCTCCTCTTGCCTCCCTTTGGGGAGGGGAGTTTTCCTTCCCTTTTTTGAACCCCTCCTCCCAATATTATGCAGCCTTTCCCCCACCACCACCACCACCCATGGCTCACCTGCTTGCAATTGCTGAGGCGGGAAGTGCTCGAGGAGACCCCTTGGCACCCGCCCTCCCTGGA